CTAAACCCCAAATCTGAGCGGAGGTCTTCCATCGTTAGCCTGAAGATCTTCGGCGGTCTCCGGCTCAGAGCACAGCGAGCTTTCTGCGAGCGTTGCGATCTTGTCACGCTGAAGCATGCCCTGGTGACTGAGATAGGGGGTCTAAGTAGACGGATTTGGTTTCCTTCACAGGCTCTCTCTATATATATATATATATATATATATACTACTCTGTATAGTACTCCATATTACTCTATATACTTCCGGTGGAACAGACGCAGACCCCCAAGGCCGTATTCTGATGCACATCCTGAGGTCCAGAGCCGCCTCCGAGGGTCTTGGACTGGGTGCCCCGAGTCTGCACACATCTCTACGAGGGGCCGCAGTGCTCCAACGTGACACACTGGAAAGGAAGGGTAAGGCTGGAACTTGACAATCACGTCATCGAAGATGTGCAGATGCATTCTCGGGGGCATTCCTCGGCGATGTTTCCAAAGCATCAGTTCTCTCTGAAGCTGCCAAAGCGGATGCCTCTTTTGGGCATGGCGCCGGCCCGACGCTGGGTCTTGGCCACCTCATTCGTGGACGTGTCCTTCCAGCGGAATCCAACAGCTTTCGAGGTGTACCGGAAGCTGGGTGGCTGGGCCACAGATACCGTGTATGTGAAGGTGGAGTGGCACGGCTCCATGCCCCAGTTTGGCAGGCTTCTTTCATCTTCTTTCTGAGAGCACCAGCAACACGGGTACTGACGTCTTGCTTCTTGGGAACTGGTAGAAAGTGTAACTTCGGGTTCGAAGGGTCGGAGGACAGCAGCAGCTCCTTTGCTAGGCCCGATGCAAAAACTCAGCGTGAAGACCGGCTGCTGCGTGCCCAGGAATCGATTACGGACTCTACTACATCGGCGAGCGTGTGGAGTGCGGCGGTGGGCGACTGGATCCTCTTTTTGCAGAAACAGCTCCTTTCTTCCCTTCCTGTGGTTTAGCTTGTGGTTCTTATGATTTGTTGCGGTGGGTATTTCGGCTTCGTTGCTCTTGTCCAACCTCCTCGCAGAATCATTGGTACATCGCACCCCGAGCCCGAGTCTACGTCTTTGACAGGTCCTCCGCTAAGTCTCCGGGCCTTTTGTGGATGTTGCTGGGTTCACAAAACTCAAAACCCCACACGAAAACCTAGGCCCTAAACTGTGAAGCCTGAACCCGGACTAATGTCTAAACATCTCTAAACTCTAGAATCTGAGCCCCAAGCCATGAACTGCGCCACCGAGGACTCCTGTCACACTCAGCCGGATCAGCCAGAGGCTTCGGATTTTCTGCTGACAATCGACTGGGCAAAGCCGGGCAAGGCACGCATCACTTGGCCAAAGGCCCAAAAACCAAGAGGATGGGTTCAGATTCTATGGGTTAGGACTTCCCAGCTTCTTGTCCTCACTGTGTCTCTCACTGTGTCTCGCAAAGCAAGTCAGTAGCTTTGATGTATAGCTTCAACAACCCGCTTACTCAGCTTGCATGGAGGAAGCCTGTAGCACCAACTGCTTCAAAGCCCGGTGTTCAAGGTGTCACTGCGAAGCAACGTGACTTCTACCTTCTTCAGCGTGCTCCACCCGAAGGGTGCTCTTCCCAGCACCAACGTGGTCTTCCTCCAGAAGCTCGTCGATTCTGTAGACAGCCTGGCAGCCACTGGCAACAGCGGTTTGGCCAAACTCCTCGACTTTCAAAGCTTTGTGCGTTACTTCCTGGTAGAGGAGCTGGCCAAGGACGTCGACGGCTACGCATTCTCGAACCTTGGGACTGCGTTCTGTGTGTGACAGTTTCATCTTGGCTTCGTTCTTGCCCTTCTGCCTCTCGCTCTGCTAGCAGTAGTAGTTGATAGCCATATTATCACTGTCGTCTTGAGGAATTACGTGATGGTCCGACAGGGGCGGCTGCTGCACGCTGCTCCGTGGGACTTCGACCTGGCTTTCGACTTCGCCTGCATGCCGCGATACTTCACGAACGTCTTCACGGGCAATGTCTCCTTGGGGGTGCCCCTCAGATCGCAGGGGGTCTTCTTGGGACTCGGGGCTCAGGGAACCTTCGAACATGTCCTAGGCTGAGCTTCAGGCTTGCATCTTTGGTGGCCAGCAGCTCGTAGCAACAGTGGTAAAGGTCACCGGTAAAGGTCATAGCCGTGCCTGCTCATCATCATCATCATCATCGTCGCTGGCATCGCCAGCAGCACCAGCACCACCAGAATGGCCACCGCCACCACGACCGCCACCACCATTACAACTGCTGCCGCCGCCACCGACCCCACCACCGCCACTGCCCCCACCCCCACCATTATTCATCGTCTTGAAGTCTTGTTTTTCTCACGATCACGGTCATAAGGTCGCTCAGACAGTAGCAATTGAGTAGCTCAAAGCCTCGTCTTGCACACACAAGCTGTCGAGCCCAGCTGTCCGTTGAGCAAAGACTCAAGCTGAAGCCATTTCTCAGTCCACCTAAACCCTCAACCCCAACCATAAGCCCTAAACCCTAAATCCTAAACCTCTTTTGTGGAGCACAGTCCATCCCACCGCAGTCTCAAGCCCAAACCCTCATGTCCAGATCCTGGGTCCAAGACCCTGCCATCGCACACCCCGACAGGGTCTCCCGTACGAGTAAGTTGAAGTAGCTCCCCATGTATCTTACGACGGCTCCCCTGGAATAGAAAGGCCCGAAAACCCGAAACTCGATGTCGGCATAACTGGTAAGATTATCTGTAGCTGCCCAGCTGAAGTTAATCATTGGTAAAGGCCCCATAATTCTGTCAAAGGACCGGCTGGAACGTTGAAAACTCCCGGGCTGATGCGCTGTGGATCGGACCTTCTGGAATCCCGGGAGGGAGCGCAGCCAGACTCTCTTGACTTTGAGGGTTTAGGTTTCAGGGTTTCAGAGTTTCAGGGGTTCTGGCGTGCTGGGTTCCGTTGGGGGAGATTGTGAACACCCGAAAACACTTTCTCTTGCATGCTAGGGTTCTCCATGTTGTGCCAGAGTACAGGGTAACACTATAACCCCAGAATCCCATTGAACCTATTAAGGCGCTTCCGTTAGGTGCTTGAAGACCTCAGGCCCAGGCCCTTCAGCCTCTTCTAATGTACACATTGGAACGGCCACAAGCTTCTGGCATGGCGGGATTCGTGAAGGCTTCAGAGGTTCGAGGGGCAGGTAAGGCCAGACTTTGGGTGGTTTTTGGGGGGTGTTCGATGCACTCAGGGTTCTCAAGCCCCCTCGAGCTCAGGTGGAGCGTTTCGGCATGAACAAGCGCCAGCTCTTCCTCAATCTCTGGCTCTATCCGGGGTTCAAGGCCTACACGTTGAGGAGCCCCACACCCAAAACTTGAGACGATCGGGGAGTTCGGGCATGACGTAGCGCCAAGAGACCGACAGACTTCAGAATCGAGGGCGTTCAGTCCTCGCACCGCACCTTGAGAGCTCCCACGGCCACAGGGCGGCTTTCGCTTGTCTAAGTTTTCTGAGAAAGGCAGGCCAGGTTCCGAGCTGGAGTGCAGCTGCTAGTTGAAGAGGCTAAGTATCAGGAGCCCTGTGCGCTTCCCTTCAGGGAGCGGGTTTCAGTTGGTTTCAAAGGCAGAGGATGCGTTGCTCACTCCAGTGGCAGGCCGCCTTCGTCGGTGCTTGGAAAGCCGCTCGTGGGCACATGCTGGGAGATGCTATGCTGGTGGCTATGGTGAGGCAACGTGGGTTCGGATGGGCTCGATGTTTTCCAAACAAGGTGCGACACATCCGTCCCTCTCTCCCTCGAAGCCGACATCGTTCCCCAACCGACGTTACACCCACCAACAGTATCTGTCTTGCGGGGTGTGTAGCTTGACGACACTGTTTTACTGCAGGAAGAGAAGTAAGCAGATCGCTTCAGCTGCCAAGAATGATCTCGAGATCTGGCGCAGCACCTTGTCATAGATCAGATTGGGACCCCAAACACAAGTTCTTGACATCATGCATACCAGGGCTGCAATTCACACCCAGGAACCAACAGATGTGGCTTCTGGCGCTGCTGCGCGCCTGCGGATACACATAGCTTCGACAAAGCTTCTGAGCACCTGTCTGAATACCTCGTGTCCCGCGCTCGCTGGATTGATGCGAACGTGGACACCCTGCTGCAGTGACGCTTTGGCTTGCTCCAAGTTGGGTCTGTGGCCGTGTCTTCCATGGGGAGCCTCTCAGCACATGTTGTGCTTGAGCTGCTTGGGTCGCCAATGACTCTCCCCCAAAGCACTGGAAGCACTGGCCGCAAGATCGGCAGGAAGCGGCCGATGGTTTCCCCGCGTCGCGATGTCGCTTGTACTCTACTGCTCCGGCTGCTACCAGCGCTGTGATCCGCTTTATGACTTCTGCTACCAAAGATATCAATCCGTCGATGGTCGCTGTTGTGAAGATCACGCTGTTGTTTAAGCTTTCCACTATAGGGGCCTGAATATTAGCAGCAGTAGGGTTCCCTACTGCAGGCATCGTGGTCAAATATCTATCCCAGACTCCAAATCCCTGTCCTGGCTTAAACCCACTATAAGCCCCAACCCAACAAACTTCGATTCCTTTAATTGAGGCCCTCAGCCCTATACCTTAAGCCCTTAAGCCCTACACCTTAAACCCTAAACCCTATGGTTCCAATGATGTACAAAAGAGTCGCCGGACGAGACTGGCCAAAGGTTGATGCATCGAATCTGCGGGACAAAAGGACACTGCGGCGTTGCACGGAGATAAGCTGTGGTCATGTGCTACACATCCTTGCAGTCTGCTATATACTACATATTGTAGGGGGTGTGTGTGTGTATATATATATATATATCAATGTATGTACAGTGGTTACAGCTATAGATATCGCATTAGGAACAGATTTAGATCTAGATACATTGCAGCATATTGTTGTTCTCATACATGCTACTGTGAGCCGGGCAGAATCAGTGGCAGTAGCAAATTACATGAGAAGTCGTCGGAGATGAGTTTGCATGTTTGTGCTGTAACTACAGTACCAGCTTGATGCAAGGTGGGTGCAATGCCGGGCAAGCTGATCCAGCAGCCTCCCTAGCTGTGTCGAGGGCTCCAGTTGCGGCTCGGGCACTCTCAGGTTCCTACTCGCCAGTTTTAAGAAGCAACGTGAGAACGAAGCGCTCTCTCAACCGCCCCTGCCAGACTTGAGGTGCCTCAAGAGCGTGGCATGCTCCAATCCGGTGGTGCTCATCGATGAGATTGATAAGCTTGGTGAGTCTCCCAGATCTGGCTTTGCTGCCTCACCTGCAACTCTAAATGCGACGAGCCCTGGGGCCATCTGAAGCGCAACTCTGAGGACGATTTGTATGGGTACGAAAACTTCTAAGAGGATGAGGTAGGAACAAGTAGAAGATGCTATTAAACCCTAAAACACTAATCCCCAAGGCCGAGACATGCGGGGTGATCCGTCCTCGGTGGGGGGCCCTAGAGAGTGCCTGGAGGTTTCATGGATACTTGACACGGTCGGGTTCGAAGTGAGGTAACAAGAAGGTTTGTTTAGAGTTAGAAGTGAGGTAACCAGAATTTTTAGAGTTAGAGGTGAGGTAACCTGAGCGTTTTTAGAGTTAGGCTCTAGCGTGCTCAGGTTTCCCCGTTCCTCTTCCCCTGGTTTTTTCAGATTGATACTGGGCACTGAGCCCCCTCATTCTCAGCCTTTCCAAGGAACGCAAGCATGCTAGAAAGTGCTCCAACAGTATGAGCAAACGCCTTCCTCCTGCACCCCAAACCCTACCCAGAGGCCCCAAGTAGTTCCTTTTTGGGATTACCTTATAGGATTCTATATACGAACCCCCAAAAAGGGGGACTCCTTTGGGGCCTCTGGGTAAACCCTGGGCCATCTTTCGAGGCGCTACTGGAAGTGTTGGACCCGGAGCAGAACAACAGCTTCCGCGACCACTATCTCGATGCACCCTGGATTCATCATGATGGAGTGCAGGGTTCCGCATGCCGAGTTGAGCAGCTCTCAGAATGGTTTTGTTCGGGCAAGGTGCCGGTGGATCTCTCCAACATCCTCTTCCTGAGCACGGCGAATGTCCTCGAGACGATCCCAACGCCACTCTTAGCCCTGGGCTTAGCAGTCGCAGTTTCTTGCCTGCCTGGGTGGAGAAGAACGCGTTACAGTTTCTTGCAACAGCTGGTAGCATGATGCCGGTGTGAGCCAGGTGTAGGACAGAACAAAATGCAACAGCTTGCGGAGCTGCACACAAGCCTAAGCTGGGCTTTACGCGAAGGTTGAAGCTGCATGTGTTGCTGGTGAGTGTTTGCCACACGTTCAAGCAAAGCATCGTGCATCTCGTGACGTGAAGGATCGGATGGAAGTGATTCGAATTGCCGGCTACGTGTTTGAGGAGAAGCTTGTGATTGCCAACAAGTGACCAGCCCCAATGGGCACTGTTACTGGCGGATCAGTGGGGTCAGCTCACTTGCCTGAAGTCGCCCGTAAAGCTTGAACCCATCAGGTACTTGATCCCCCAGACGGAGGCGGGAGAGGAGGTTTCTGCATGTGCTTTTGGCATTGGTGGCACCTTGGAATTCGCAAAATCGGGAGAGAAGCAGGCGGCGGTGCTAAGAACATACTAGAATGACAGAATAGTGTCGCTCTTTAAAGATAGATAATAGGTCAACAGATCAACAGCAACCTTAACGCTTGAATGTATTACCTGCATGATGAGTCAGTGCTCGTGTTGCGTGGATATATGCATAAATCTTTCCTTGCGCACCGGTCCTCTGTCAGCAAATCATAAAAGCTCACCAAGCTCGAGCTTCGTGACCCGCCGTTGCAACGCTCACTTGAGCACTCGACCTGAGAATCCCCAATATCCTGCACGAACGAATCCATAGCCTGACACCCGAAACCCGATCGTTGCAAGACGCTTGTCGGACTTGACAAAGCCATGGACTTACCTTTGGTTAGTAGGGAATGGAGGAATGGGGTACAATTATAACTACTATTACTACCATTCTTCCATTCCCTACTGACCAAAGGCAAGTGGAAGGCCCGAAAGTCCTGCACAGGAGCAGAGCGGCGTCGGTACGGAGCGGATCCAAATGCAGGCAGCATCAAAGTTTCGAGCTACTGCATGTTTCAGGTCTCAGCCGTAGGCTTCTTGAGACTTGAGGATAATATGACTATCAGAAGTTCGGAAAATACTCATCCTCATGCTCAAGTAGATTGGCATTGTTAAGCTTGCAGTTGCGCCGGTGCTGGGATCGCCCTCTGTGGGTGTGTGTGTGTGCCCGGGTATATGGATCGAGGAAGATGCTGCGCGATATTTGTGCGTATATGCAAACGTATGAACTCCTGAGTATCCATGCTCATATAGTCCTCAGCTGTGGTAGGTCTGAACACGCGCATTCCTTATTGCTTATTCGCATGCTCAGTTAGGAGCGGTTTGTATATCATGTCCACATCGACACATCTAATTTTAACGCTACGCCGCCCGCCTCGGCTGTGTAGCGGCAGGGCGAGGGGGCAGTCGATGTTTTTTTATGCTAGGGCGGCCTGTCAAACCCCAAGCTTTACACGGTTGTTGATACGAAGTGCCAGGAAAACGGGCACAGGGGGAGGGAGGGGGGGGAGGGGGGGTGAAGGGGGGGAGAGGGGAGGGGAGGGGGACAAATCAGGTAAAATGAGGGAAGGGAGGCCTGGGAGGGGGGGGGAGGCCGACAAATCAGGTAAAATGAGGGGAAGCCGGGCAAGGGGGTGGCAAACGAACGCAAAAACAGGGTGTCACCAATCATTTCGGCTGCAGGGAGGAGGATTAGGTGGAGGGTACCTGAGGCAACCACCAAAACGCCTGGGCCTCTGGCCTCGGCGGATATCTTCCGCGCCATCCCATCTGTCTACACGGCTTAGCGGCTAACAGAGTATGTTACATGTAAACAGATAGGTCATCAGAGAGGTAGGTAGGGAGGTAGGTCTGTAGCTCGGAGGAAGGTAGATAAGTAGGTGGTATTTGTTTACGTAGCAGCTACAGGTGTCAACAGATGTGGTTTGCACCAACAGTGATATTTACTCGGGAGACGACTGAATGTGTCAACAGATCTGGTGTGCACCTACAGTGATTATTCATTGCACGTACGTTCGTTCATGTCTGTCTGAACTTAGACGTCTACATCTGCAGGTGTTTAGGCACCATGTGCACGCACATTTCACCGACACGTACATCACGTGCATCCGCGCGCCGTGTGTGTTTATGTGTGTGTATATAAATATATATGTATATATCTGTGTGTGGGTGAACAGGTAAGCTCATGTATTTCTCTCTGTCTCTCTCTCTCTCTCTGTCGGGGTGTTTGTGTGTGTGTGTGTGTAGTTCGAAGAGGCAGCTGGGTAAATATGTACGTATGTGTGCCTATGCGCGAACTTATGAACGTCTGAAAGCATGACTCCATGAGTGAGGGAATCATGAACGAACGAATCGACCGGATGAATGAAAGAAAGAAAGAAAGAATGACTTAGTGAATGAATAACGAATGAATGAATGACTGAATGAATGACTGAATGAATGAATGTACGAAAGGATGAAGTAATGAAATGGCTCAACGACAGAATAATGCAATCATGACATAAGAACGCAAGACCGGCGCAAAGAATGAATGCTTGATGGATGGACCGTCATGAATGACGCGCTGACTGACTGACTGCTGGACGGACGGACATGAACTTGAATTAAAAAGAGATGAGATGAAATAAATGAAAGACTTGCACAAGATGAATGGAAAGAAAGAATGAGGGCATGGATGGATGCGTGAATGAACGAAGGAAGGAGGAATGAAGATATGTGGGCAAGTAGACGGATAGATGGATGAATGGATAGATGGATAGATGGTTCGACGGAGGGATAGATGTATGTATGGATGGATGGACTGGATCCATAAGATGTATCTGTGACTTGTCGGTTGGTTTCGGTGCGGTACATGGTCAGGAGGATGCTCTCCACAAGATGATCAAGGACTATGCCCGTGAGGCTTCGGCAAAGAATAATTTCTCGCCCGGGGTCTTCGCAAGCTCTTCCCGGCTCGATAATACGGTAAGGTTATGTACTTGCGACCACTGTGGAACCAGCACAGGGAGCTGCACGCACCGGGTTGCCTGCTGCTTTGCTGGTGATGCTTCCAGAGGCTGGTGTGCGCAACTTGCGACAGCTGCTGGAAAAGGTCAGCCGCAAGGCTACGCAGCCGCCGATCTCGGGGTAACCTTGAGGGCATGTGTGTTGAGGGGCAAGCAAGGAAGAGAAGGGCGGCTTGGTCCTATGTTGTTGCAAGCCTGCGAGCAGGTCATTTTCAACTTGTGACCTGTCGGTTTTTTGGAGCACCCTGGCGCCCTCAAATAACCATGCATGTGTGTGCCTGTGAGCGCGAAGGAAGAGCAGAGGTGGCAGGGCTTCTTTTGGAGAGTGGCCCGACCAGGTGGCGCTTGACCTCGTAAGGCAGCAGAAGGCCAGGCCCTCGTCTGTGATTTCTAGTGATAATGCGGGAGGTGAATCGCATCCTTGCTTTTCAAGATGATTGTGATGACATGCTTCCGACCGGTCCTTCCAAAATGCATCAACCCTCCTGCCGTCCACGGAGTTGAGCCCTGACCCGGAGCCCTACGCCCTTCGCGATCGCACCCTTCCAAGGCGAACCCCTCCAACGAGCAGGCCAGGATTCTTATCGGGGGCTTTTAAGGGGCTTGTTCCGAAGCTTGCGGAAAAAATCAGGAGTTCTTGGTTCGATTGGGCTTCAGTACCGCCAAGTGCCGTCGGGAACTTGAAAAGCCAAGCCTGGACCTCCCAGCCTCAGCAGTTCGCCCTCCTCAGGGTTTAGGGGTTTAAGGGGTTAAAGGGTTTGGGGGTTTCACGCATAGGTTTGGAGGTTTAGGGGTTTAGTAAGAGAGTTTAGGGTTTAGCGGTTGAGACGGCGCAGCTTGTAATCGCAGTTCTTGGCCGCTCAGGGCCCTGCCGTCATCGACACGGAGAACCTGACCCGATACATTGGACAGCCGTGTGGCCCTTTGGGTTCAGGGTAGCGGATCTCTCTTTCAGGGTGTAGGGTTCGCGCTTAGTTTCTGGTTCCTAACCTTCAGATTTTAGGCTGGGTTGGGGTTCAGCGTTTTGCGATGTGTAGCGATTCAAGTCTTCGAGGGGACAGGGAGTTGGTTTGGTTTCCGGGTCGCTTGCCGAGTCGGAGAAGGGCGCTTGTTCATCTCGATGCTCACATGATATGGAGGCTGCTGAACAAGATTGTCTTTTGGCTTGAGCCGCAGTGCCAGGTTCCCTGCTTAGTAAGCCAGTCGTTGCAGATCTGCCATCTAGACTCTAGACATCCCCTCAGATGATGTCTTGCAGTCTCCCATCCAACTAGCCTTACTTTAGCTATCCCGTGCTGGAAGTAGAGCCAGTGAACCAGGTGCTAACCCTAAACCCCATTTTCCGCGCTTTTCCGCCGCGCCATTGTGTGCACTTGGCGACATGGACAGCCGCAGAGCCCTTGCCTCGGTACTTAAGGAGCCTAAATAATTACCTATAGTATGTGGGGTTGGTTTAGGGTTTAGGGTTTAGGGTTTAGGGTTTAGGGTTCCTTATGATAATACTATAATGGGCACCAAAACCCTATTCTAGCTATCAGGGCCCCTATATTAGACTCTTGTCGTCGTCAACACAGGGGGGAGTTAGCATGTTGCCGCGTGAGCAGGTGCTCATGACCGAAACAGTGCGATTGCTCAAGCGATTGCTCATGGTTCTCTCTATGCAGAGTCCTTGTTCTAGCTCTGTGTTGCGGGGGATCTAGGATCGTTGCGAGGCCCTAAGCCAGACAGCTTGACATGCCCTGGTAGGTCTGGGCCACCATCGTGCTCATCCTTCTGGATGTCGCTACTGTAGTCTCGCTCTTCGTGGCTGCGACGCGGCCTTTCAGCTTCCGAGCTGCAGAAAGATTTGCTTTGTCTCCTGCAGGCTGGGGCTACTATGCATTCAACTAAGAGGAAGAGCAGGCATATTGACGAAGAGCTCAATGTTGATGGCCCCGTTGGTTTTGATTTTCTCGTAGATTGTCTTAGTGGCGTGCCTGGAGCATGATAAGAGGCACTGTTTTGTGTTCGATTTTAGTCCGGTTTTTTTGAGGTCTTGGGGGAGGGGTTTGGGATATGAGATGTACGAGGCCAAGATGTGGTACCGCCCAGGGAGCCCGCCAGAACCTGGCACGAAGATAATGTAGGGGTGTTGCGGGTTATATACCCCAACACCCTATTCTGGTCACTTACTTGGAGGGTCTGGGGACTTGGTAGACTTCTAAGTACCCTAAAAGGGACCCTAATTGGGGTTATGGTACTTATAAGTCCCTAAAGCAACCAGTTACTAAGTCCCCCGACCCTCCAAGTAGGCAATTCGGAGCTTTGCTCTCAGGCAACCGCCTGGTGGACTTGATCCTCCTGGGCGGAAGGGTGTTGGGAGGCAGTTTGCTCTCCACGGCCCCTTGGCTTCCGTGGAGGTGCATAGTGGGGTTTTGGATCTTGGGTATCTTGATGTTCCGATATTCTCGGATTAGACTGGGGGAAAAGTCTTGGAAAGGCTTCTACCCTTCACCCTAATAGGCACATGAAGTGGGCAGTTGTGTTGAACAGAGTGCCTACTTGCGCATTGGTTGTTTAATAATGTGTGGGGCGAATCAGGTATCTTTGAGGCACTTTTGTCTTCACGATCCCTGTCGAGGTGTATATCGCGTCAGGGCACATAAAATGCAGCGAACATCTCATTGTATCTCCGAATATGTATCTGCTTTACTATCATACACTGCTTGTGAAGTTGGCCCCTCTGCCTGCAGTTTGCTGTGCGGCTGGCCTTGGGACACTGGCCTTGGACAAGGGGCAATGGCCATGACCTCGGGGAGGTGCGAGGGCACAGGGTTCCCGCCACGGCTGCTGCGGCTCTCTCTGCTACCTCGTCCCTCCCTTCCTTCAAGCTTCACTCTCGCAATGCCAGCTGCGCGACCATGCCAGTCCTGTTGTTCCTGCAGATGCACGCAACTGTGACTACATCTACTGCTATGGCTGTGTCTCGTCCTGCGCCCATTCCGACTGACATTGCTGCTCCTCTACCTTCCGTTGTCCTCCTCATTCTCCGCATTTGCCGAATTCTTCTTCCTCTATTGTCCTTTTTGCTTGTTGCTGTTGCTCGTCTGGCATCATGTTGATTTGTCGCGAAGTGTTGGTGCAGCTTTTGCAACCAACACCATGAGACCTGTAACATGCGAGCATCATGGTCCCGGATAGATCAACCATTTGCAGGATTACCAGACCGTTGCCGACACAAACAATTCTTCGAATATTTGCCGGTAGCGAGTTCTACAAACGAGTCAGCCTGTCGGTGACGACTCACAGAATGCTGCTGGTTACATCCTAAAGCCTTGATGATGATGATGGCGGAGGTGCAGCGCGAGCTCACCCGGGCCATATCGGGTGCCTTGCAAGCAGCAGGCCTTTCATGACTGAAATCCTGGCATAACGTCTAAACAGTCAGCAAGGGGCTCATGCTGTTCAAGAACTTCAAAGCTCCAATGCCATCAATCCTGAGCAAAGTTCACAATTGTCGCTACTTCTATTCTGACTGCAATGCACCGTTAAGAGTGCCCACCGAGCCAGCATGCCTAACACTTTCGGATACTATCGGTATTACATAAACGAACCGCTTTGTTTGCTGAGTTCAGGATTAGCAGTGATGCTGATTAACATATCAGTACTTCGAGCATTACTTCCATTGCGCTGGTGCCAGGCAACCCCTGTAGCTATTACAATCAAAGTAGTTGCCCCAGCAAATGTTGAGAATATCGGCAATTTGGCGGCCCCAGACAACTACTTCTCTCACTAGTGTTACACAGCCCGGAACCTCGATTCCGACAGTCCTGAACCAGCACTCCTATGCCCTCGAAGCCTGAAATCACGCAACCTCAAAGCCGGACACCATCAACCTGAAGGAACTGGACTGCAGCATACTATAATACGTTATAAGTTATATTACAACGTACTATATGGTAATATACCTATAATATACCAAGATATATTCTAATCCTGAAACCGTCAAACTGAAAGAACCGGAGCCCAGGTGAAGAACCACCTCGGGCGCGGCAAGCCCCACTCCTAGCCTCCAGCTTTTCCAGCAGCGGTGGCGATGCCGGGAAGCCCAGAGGAAGCGGCGTCCAGGGACCTGGAGTAGGAGCCTGAATAAGTAGCAAGCCCACCCCGTCATCCTATTCCTTTGTAGTTCCATGAGGGCTTTTGGAGACCCTTTCCCTTTTCTGACTTCATATATATATATATATATATATATGGTCACGCCCCCCCCCCCCCCTGATCCATACTATGTTTTTTTCTACCTCCTGCTGCTCATGCTTCGATTTCTACATGACTTCACCTACATACAAAATCATCGGTATTTGCGGTATTTTCTGCACCTAGCATCTACTTAACTCTACATTTTGTAATTTGTTCTCACATGTTATATCCCCACGAAACCCGAAACGGATTCTGATTTCACTTTCGGGCTCCGCTCTTCCATCCAAAACCTGGCATTCCATGTTTCAGGAGGCATCACCGGTGGTTGTGCAAAAACTTCAACATGTTGCCTGTCACTGTCGCCATGTTTTGGTGCCGATGCCAATACTCAAACTGGCAGCTTCGAATCTTCCTGGTCATTGCCTGATTGCCTGGAAAGCGTGACACATACTTCAAGTGTGTTCATAATATTATAGTACTAACGCTAATACTACTACTAATACTTATCACAATATTTATACTAACATCAATATTTGCAATAACATTGATACTACGAGTACGAATACATAAACTCTTGTGGTGTTAACAATAATGCTATCACCAACACTGATACGGATATTGATAATCTGTTGAACATTCATGAAAGCCAGTACTATTACCAGCATGAACACTTATATTATGGCTAATACGACTATGAATAGTCCTAAGTCTAATATCAACATTAATACTCCTACGAATACCAATAGTATATTCGTATTGATATGAATACCAATCTCTTTACTGATAGACACCTGCATATACTAATGTACATAAAAGTACATACCACTGTCTTAAGATACAGATATATACATTAGTGCATTCATGTACTAATGTTTTGGCATAAACATATACCCATATACCAATCTAATAATATACTTCCCGTTAATGTATGAATATACTATACTAATATGCGAGTATACTAATACACGACTACGGCAATATGCAAATATACCGACATGACAAATTAGTAGACTAATATGCCATCATACTGATATACTTGTAAATATGACTAGACAATACATGAATATAGCACACATACTAGTAAACTAATACACCAATATACTAGTGTACTCGTGCACCAGTTGTACTAACATATCAAATATACAAATATACAAGCACACAAATATGTTACTGTTCGAATGCATTAGTAATATATTGATATACTAGTCAGCTACTATACGAAACTATCAATATACTAACATATCAAAACTAGTTCTAGTATCGATACTAATACTAGCACTTCTGCGAAAATTAGCTGCGATTAAACCCAACATTAAGACTGACACAGATACTAGCAGTGGTGCTGTATTACTGACATTGACACTGGCACTAGCGCTAGCTCTAACACGAGCATGAGCACTGACACTAATTTGTATTTAAATTGCTAATATTGACATGTATACTATTACACCAAACACTAGTACTAATATTATTAAGAACAATACTCATCCTAATATCGATATTTCCACAAAATTATCACGTAACTCATGTGCCGCACGTCTGGTGCATGCGTCCTCAGCACATGGCATGTCAAAGTATATGTTGTATATCTACTGCAAATGTTTTACTTTACAGATTGTCGTCGGGTGTGGTGTGCTTTGATACAATATCTCAAGGAATTGGTGGCATCGAGAGCATCTTGCAAGGATATGTCACCCCCGTCGCGGATCATGCTGGAAAAGAGGAAAAGAGGGAC